GGAAAATAAAATGATGATATTTTCTTCTTCAATATCAATACAAATCAGGTTTTACATGTACATAAAATTATGGTTTATATGCACTTAAAAGTTAGGACCATGATAATGATAGAAACTCTTCAAAAAAATATACATGATAGAATATATAACATAATTTGTAATTAAAAATTATTTCCAAATTCCACGTACAACCAATCTATATTTATATTCGTGGCTTGATTAAATCACATAAGTTGTTGAAGGAATCACATAAAAATTATAACTATCGGGATTAAATCCATACACAAATTCAGGCTGGTGTTCGAGTCCAGACCATGGTCCGAAGAGATATTAGACGAATTCAATTTCATCTTGCTATTGCCATCTGATAATTCTTCTCTTAAATTCTCTAATCGATAATTCAAATCCACCAGCCCCGAATGCATAACCTTGAATATCAGATTTTACACGGCACATAACGAATTCACAGAGAGAGTAATCTCTAGCAAATGAAAAAAAAAAAAAAAAAAAATCTCTAAAAAGACAAAAAACTTACCCCTAGCAAAAATTGCATTTCATCATCATGATCACGAAACAGATAACGGGGAAAAAAGTTGTCTTTATATAAGATTTATATAAACAATCTTAGTTGCAAAATCTGGCAAACAATGAGGAAAGAAAAAACAATCAAATGTTGATGTAAAATTCTATATGATAAAACCAAATTAAAGTAACAGGTTATAAAAATATCTTGAATTTCGAGGTGTCTTCCAATGTTAAAAGAAACTTATTCCAAGCGCTGGCCTCAAAATATTTTTAAGCTTATAAACAGAGGGAATGATTTTATCGAGTCATCTCCATAGGGCGGGATCCCGTTCATGTGACATTTCCTGTCTTCATCTAATAACCAATTACGTACTCTTCATCTTTGCTTCCATAATTTATCAAATGTACTACAAATGACAGAACCTACCAGAGTAAGATTGAAAATTAAACATATAGGCCTTAAATATTCAGTAGATGTAGTGAAAAAAAGGAGAAAAAAACCTTAAATGCTCACTCATTTTTGTCTGATGAGAAAGCTTCTTTCGTCACGCAATCCCAGTCGTTGAAATCACTTGATTTTCCAAATTCTCTATCACCAAAATTACGGGGTCATATAGAAACTTGTGCACATGATCAGGGAGCCTCTGTATTTTCAATTATCTCATTATCGTAATTCTTAATTTATAGGAAACATTTCCCATCATTTTCGTCTCATATTCTTCATCATGTGTCTACAACAAACAAATGGGGCTAAAAGACGTTTATGAATTTCTAGCAGATTACGGATGAAAAAATCTTTTCCTAAATCGTTGTATAAGATTCTTATCATCTTATATCCCTGTGACTGTGAAAACCTGCCAACACGCTGATTTCTGCTTTGAATAGGG